AGCGCGCGTTGAAGGAGACGCGGTGCGATCTGCCAGCAGCTAGCACTGAGGAAGGAACTGGTGCCGCAAGCAGATGCAGTGCAGGCTACGAGACTGGGAACTTGGGAGACGGAGGGCAAAACCTGTGGCTGGGGATGACAACGAAAGCCAGCTGAGGGTGACGCGATGGAGGGATCCTATCGTCCAGTCAGATAAGGTCCCTGTTTGGTTACCATGAGGTTTTTAGAATCTACTAGCAAAAGTGCACGTGTGTTATGACGAATTGTTTATATTCACCGTGCTGTTATTGATGCCTCCCGTGTTGTATCGTACATCAGAAACTGCCTCACACTATGCATGGTCACACCGAGTGGGGCTAAGCCCACTATGGACTCCTAGTGTGTTTGGACCTGCGCTTCTCTAACTCGCATGGGCCTAAGAGGTTTAGAGATTTATCTAATGATCATGTCATGCATTAGACGACCGAACTCTGCATGATGCTCTAACTATTACATGTTTTTATGTTATATATATAGAAAATGTTGTGAGATTGTAGGATAAGAAAAGTAGATGTGCTAGTGCTATACAAATTATTTTCTTAATGCGTAGTGTCATGCATGTGCTACAGCTTCACAAACATTATGTTTGCTTGTTCCTCCCATCAACAATCCACACAAAACAATTTGAACCATATCCGATCCTCACTTTGATCTATAGAGGGTGTGTTTCGAAAGGCATAGGGTACCAAGATGCATTCTTATATGTTGGTTCGGACCCACTAATAATGTACCTACAATCTTACTCAAACTCTCCCGGAACATATACAGTGCACGACATATCATCACCAATCTGTACTGAATCATATAGTGAGCATGATTACACGATGAAGGGTTATTAAATTTAAATAATCATGGACTTCTATTTAAGATGTAATGTCTATGGATGTGCTAGCACACTTAGATCGAATCATGGAACCGCATCACCATGCATGCGGGTGGCGTTCTGTCGAAGACAGGCCATAGCACGGTTTGGTTTGGTTGACAAAGTTCATTAAAGGAAAAAAGGCTTACCTGAAAAAAGATGCATCAACAAATGGAGCACTTACAGAGTAATAAGAATCTAATAACCTGTTATACAACTTGCACCTGCATGGATTGGCGTTGTCAGCATATATGCGGCAATAGAAGAACCGTCGTATATTAACCTATATGGTACATATGGAGGAAATCTAATAATTTGCTAGGTTAGTCCACTTACGTGATGGATGATCAGTTGGTCAGAATTCACGATAACCGGTGACGGCTGACAGTGGCTTGATAATGGTCAGAATTCCCGTCGAGATACACGAACGCTGGTTTAGCATGTTGGAAACAAATTCTTCTTGAGCAAATGAGGACGACGGCTACATCGTCGATTGAGTTCGATCAGATTCCATAGATGAATGGCGTTACTTCCCGTCCACCAGCTGCAGCACCTAGCCGTCGTCGGTCCACGCCGCGGTGGCGCGCTAACCCAGGTAGAGCTCGTCGGAGGTGTGGTTGGAGGGCACCTCGATGAGCGTGAGCCCGAGCGTGGTGGTGAAGCGGTCGGGCACCGTGTCGAGGAAGAACGACCTGTCCCCGGCAGCGGCACGAACTGACAAGCCGGCGGCAGCGGGTGCGGGTGGGCCGGTTGGGCATGAACCCGGCGTAGCTGTACTAACCGAAGTTGATGGCGTGCGGCGTGCAGCGTGGAAGCGATCCAGACGAGCGTGGGCAGCGACTCGGCGAGGTTGGCCACGGTGTCGAGCTCTAGCTAGCACGCCAGGTCGCGCTGGCAGTCGCCATGGCTGAGCCGGCGGACGTCGGCCCACCACGCCTACAGCTCGCCATCGGCGGCCACCGCGGCGTTGAGTGCTAGAACCGGACGATAGTAGCTCCGCACCCAGCCCTTGATGGTGCGCCACACGTCCATGCCGTCCACCGCGTACAGGTAGTCCTCCACGTGCAGGTGCAGGGCGCTGGTCGCGCCACACGTCCAGACGGAGATTGATTTGGAGTCTGTTGTCTGACGGTGTTGCTATTAGCTGTGATGGAGGCCAGCGGAACAATTGCATGAGTATGGGTATCTATATGGGCAGCAGCTGCATTGTGTACCTGCATACAAGTTTTCCTGTGGAAGCGGTTATCATTTCGAGCCTTCCAGATATACCACAAGGTGAATAAAATTTTACAAAAAAGAGTATCAGGAGTGGAGTTGGATATGAAGCTTTGTAGGATTAATTGTATGCTGTCTGTTTATTGAGGGAGGTTATCAGTTCTTATTGAAGGGGTGAAGGAGAACCATACCGCCCGAGGGAGATCGCAGTGGAAGAACAGGTGGGCGTCATCTTCAACAGCACCGCAAGTGGAGCAGTGTTCGTCAATGTGGTTGGAATACCTGGCAGCTCTTTCTGCAGTGGCAAGAGCACGGCGGATAAGCCTCCAGGTAAAGGCTTTGATTATCGGTGGGAGATCCCTGGTCTTCCAAGCGCGCCTAAGGATGTGGTTGGCCTGGTGAAGGATGCTCCGAGAGCCCTGTTGAGGAAGTTGGATGGAGTTCTGAGCGGAGAGGTGCCTGTAAATTTCTTTTGTGGTGCAGATGCCGTTCCTGGAGGGCTTCCACCGAAGAATATCCTGCTGGTCAGTAGGCACAGGACGAACAGAGGTGATGGCTTAGACTGCCTGATTGTCAAAAGTGTTAGTCAAAAGTTGCAGATTCCAAGTTTGAGTGTTAGGGATCCAAAGGTCAGAGGCAGTGGATGGAAGTGGCGTAGTGGTGACCGGTAGCAGTAAATGGTTATGGATAGAGTCCCAAACTGGGCACCACGAAGCAGACCAGATAGAAGTGTTGCCTGCGTGAATCTGGAAGACAGTGTTGGTGCATAGATCTTTTTTGACCTGCATGACAGATGACCAAAAAATGGACCTAGGCCCAGAATTGTTAGCAGTCCAGAATGAGGAGTTGTGAAAGTATTTAGCTTTAAGAACCGAGGTGAGGAGAGGGTTCTTGTTATTAGCAATGTCATAGGCGGCATGAATAATGAGGCTTCTGTTCACAGTGTAGAGGTCTCTGATGCCAAAACCACCATTCTCCTTGCTTTGACATATATCGTCCCAAGCTCGGAAGGCAATTGAGGAGGTAGGGTTGTCCTCTTGAACACCGGTCCACCAGAATCTTCTGATGATTGCTGTAATTTTCTCTATAAAAGCCTTAGAAAAAAGAACAGTGGACATGTAATAAACATGAATAGAGGAGAGAACATATTGGATGTAGGTGAGTCTCCCAGCGTGATTAAGTTTATTGGCTTTGACAGTAGTAAGCTTAGCCTTGAATTTGTTAATAATAAATTCATAAGCTTTGTTCCTATCATTGTGATTGAAAATGATTGGATGACCAAGATGCATGGTGTTAGGTAGCAGGTCAGGAACAGGGAAAATGTTCTTGATTGTGGCTATAGTATTGCTATTGACATTCCTGCTAAACATAATAGCTGATTTTTGTAAATTGGGTACCTGGACCGACCGATTGCAAAATTCGTGGAGGATAGTACGGATGGTAGTAGCCTCTTGCTCCGTTGCCTGTCCACATAGTATGAGATCATTTGCAAAAAGAAGAGAGTGGATAGGTGGACAACCGGGCTCAAGAGTGACACCTGTTAGGTTAGAACTCTGCAATTCATGTTGTAAGGTGATGGAGAGCTCATTGATGGCAACCACGAAGAGGTAAGCGACAGAGGGCAACCTTGTCGGATACCACGCTGAGAGAGAAAATCTGCAGTGGGCTCACCATTGACGAGGATAGAGAAGGTAGGAGTGGAGATGCAGGCATGGATAAGGCGGATGAAATGACTTTGAAGACCAAGGCGTCGAAGTGCTGCAGCAATGAAATTCCATTCCAGGTTCCAAAGAAAACACACACACGCAGAGGACGCACTAACCTTATGCGGGCTAATCAATTGAGGAGGGGGATTGTCGTCACTCGTCAGGGATGAAACATGCCGATAAAAGAATGTGCCATGGTGAGATCAGGATGAGCCAAAGGTTGCAGACTTGGTCATTATTTGGCATCAATTAATCCAGTAATAATTAGCACAATAATGAATATTGGTATCCTCTTCTGACTTCACACATTTTATTTTTTCTGTATTTCTTTCATCCAGAGAAAAAAAAGGTGATGATGATTGATACCTATAGTATTCAAGTATACCATGGATGCTTCTATTGCATTTTTTTTTGAAAATCAATTAACATTTCCAACAAACTGGAAGTATTAAGATTGTGTACAGTTACATTATCTTAAAACGTTGTTCTCGGCATCAGAGGGGAACTTGTTGAGTGACAGATGGCCATGCTGTTTATTTGCATGTACATTAAGGACTTGGTAGCATATCATTGATACAAACAGAGATTACAAGTTCATAGCTGAGGTAAGCTGCAGACTTGGTCATTATTTGGCATCAATTGATCCAGTAATAATTAGCACAATAATGAATATTGGTATCCTCTTCTGACTTCACACATTTTATTTTTTCTGTATTTCTTTCATCCAGAGAAAAAAAGGTGATGATGATTGATACCTATAGTATTCAAGTATACCATGGATGCTTCTATTGCATTTTTTTTTGAAAATCAATTAACATTTGGAAGCATTAAGATTGTGTACAGTTACATTATCTTAAAACGTTGTTCTCGACATCAGAGGGAAATTTGTTGAGTGACAGATGGCCATGCTGTTTATTTGCATGTACATTAAGGACTTGGTAGCATATCATTGATACAAACAGAGATTACAAGTTCATAGCTGAGGTAAGCTGTGAGATTATTTAAGATATATGGAATTTCTCTAATGCAAATATACAAGTTACTACAATATAGTGGACTTATAGTGTGCCACCTTTCTTTTATTTCCTTGATAAATCACCCATACGCGCTTGTCCGACGAACTTTATTTTCGCCGAGATGAAGGCGAGATGTAGCTTTATATTAATCAAAGGAGAGGCTTCACTTGCACAAATACTTGAGAACACCAGGGATGTGGATTTTGATGAAGTAATCATCCCAGTTGATGGTCTTGGGGTCGAAATTGAACATTTGATCTTCAGGAGTCTTCATCACCATCGTCAACCTCAACCGCTCCATGTTCATGTCATCAAAGCTTCGTCATCAGCCAACCAAAAAATATATAGGAAACGTGTTAATGAGTTTGTTTTTGTTACATAAGTATAATAATGGAGATAAGTGGTATCGTCTTGCCTCTGCACCACCAACAAGAGGGATGTTTTTGTTATAATTTTTTTTAGAATTACACAGTACAACGTAGACTATACCATGATTAGTATGGATGATTAATTTGCACACATTATAGTCCAATTCCTAATTAATTACAAGCTGAAGGGTAATTAATTAATTACCATCCGTTGAACAAGGCAAAGCGTCCATAGACGTCAACAAGATGCATGACAAACTTGTACTTGCGGTTGAGATCGTTGTAGAGCCGTGCGAAGAGCCCACCGAGGAGCAGATTCACCAAGTGCAGAAACTACAGTGCACAACAGCTCACTTGAGTAATTGAGACAAGTCAGACAACTACACTCAATTATTAGTAAGCACGAGACATTTAATTTCTCCTCCGATTCTAAATGTACTCCCTCTGTCCCAAACAAAAAAAATGACGTTCAACCTTTGAATCATGTCCTAGTCATTTTAGACATGGGTCCCACGTAAGATTCCTTTCTCCCCTCCCCTGGCCATCCCACTTGCCCCATCCTGCCCTCGTGATCCCCTCCCTCCTCTTTTCCACCGCCCTCTCTTCCTCTCCAACAATGACCTCCTCCCCTTCTATTCCACCCGTCGTCCTCCTCTTCTCATCTGCCCACGGGAGGTCGGCGCCCGTTCTCCTCTTTTCCTCCGCCGGCCTCCCTCCTCTACTCCTCCCCTCCCACCCCCCCCACCTGTGGCTTCCCCTTCCCTCGCGCTGTCGGAGAGGAGTCCAGGACGGAGAGGGCGTGAAGGCTCTGGATCCGAGCGGGACGGGGTGGCGGCGGGCGAGCGGGCGAGCGGGTGGTGCCTCCCTAGCGGGGCGCGACGCGAAGTAGATCGGTCTTGTGGGACGCTGGATCCCTTGCAACGCTCAACGCGGAGCGGACTAGGGATGAGGCGATCGCGGACTCGGCTTACCGGTGACCGTAGACGCGGAGCGGACCGACATCGAGGCGAATCCGGCGGCGGCCCCCTTCCTTCTTTCCTATCTAGTGCCCCCACCGAGATCCACGCATAGCGGTCGCCGAGATCGACGCCCAGTGCCCAGCTCGGGAGGCGGACGGTAGGACGATGCGGCCCATGGAGCCGCGACCTCAGGTAAGTGCAGCCGTCGGGCAAGGACGAGGCGTGTCCTCTCACCTCTTTCCGCCGATGGGAGGCCTGAATCCGGATGGGGAGGAGAGCACGAGAGAGAATGTAGGGGTATTCTAGTCTTTTTGCTTCCTTGTTGGTTTCCGTGCCCAATACTAGGTTGTAGGACATATTGACATATGACCTATATGATTAAATATTACCCCAGTTTAGAGAATGAATCTAGTAGCTACGCTGTCAATCTTAAAAAGGTATACATACATTATATTAATTATATTATGAATTAGAGGGAGTATAATACAGCAGTATCACTTATCTGACCTCTAGTGGCAGCTTGAATGTGAGCATCATGTAGAGGTGGAACTGCGTGATTGTGGGGAAGAAGCGCATCTCCCTGGTGGGGATGACCTTGCCGTCCTTCCCCACGCGCGGGTTCTGGTAGAAGTGCCGGCGGCCGGACTCGTAAAGAACGGAGTAGGTGACTGGGTCGCGCAGCGACGAGGTGACATGGTACACCGGCACCACCTCTGCACCCTTCTCCTCCGAGTGCGCCACCATGGCCGCCATCATGGCGTTGGCCACCATGTCCCCCGGGATGAGGTCCACGACCACGCTGAGGTCGCCGAGGAAGCAGGAGAGGTTCTGCTTGGCGTAGCCGATGATGAGCGTGTCGATGGTGCGCGTGCCCTGCATCCAGCCCGGCAACGGGTCCTCCCGGACGCTGGTGATGATGCTGGGGCGCATGATCACCACGGGCATGTCACCCCGGAGCTGCCCCAAGACCATCTCCTATCCCCCATGGCCTTGGTGAAGATGTACGTGTTGGACCACCCAAAGTGGCGAGCCCTCTGGATGCCCAGCTCCTTCGTGGCCTTCCTCTCCGTCTTCTTGCGCTCGTCGTCACTGACGTCCATGAGCTCCTTCTTGGCTTCTCTGACAAGCCGCAGCTCGGCGTCGACATCGAGGTACTTGCCCTCGAGCAGCGACTCGCCGGGCTTGATGGGCTTCTCCAGGTGGAGCCCGTCCCTGTCGCCGCAGACATAAGCTGCAAGCATAGACCAATAATGCAAAGTTAATGTCATTAAGATTAATTGACCTCACAGGCTCTCTTCTTGCTTCGTCTTGCATTGGGAGCAAGGTTTTAGATCTCCATTTACAGCTGCCGCTATGATTGACTATAGTTTTTTTGAGACAGATCAAACTACTGTATTTGTGTCCATGTATAATTTAGCAGCCTGCTATATGTAGCTTCATTTAACTCCGCTATTTAGCTGTTTGAGAAGCCATCCGTTAAATCCGTTAGCCGGAGATTTAAAACAATGACTAGGAGTTCTACTGACCAGTGGAGACATGCATGAGCATCTTGAGGTTGGCGCACTGCTGAGCGAAGTGGCAGAGGTGCTTCACCCCCATCACGTTCACGTCCAACGAGACATCATATCTACACAAGTCATACAAAAATCAGTTTTAAATAGGGGGGCTAAGGATGACATTCTTCAGTACCGTGCGGCCATGGCCCCCGTGCAAGAACCAGCAAAAGTTTACAGAAATAAGAACCTTTCGTATAAGTTGGTGGTCGCCGCAATGTTGACAATGGCGTCTATGTCCTTGGCCAGAGCCTCCAGAGTAGGAGCATCCAGTCCCAGGTTGTCGTAGATGATGTCTCCAGGCAAGGCAACAATCTTCTCCTGGATGAACTGCTGGAACCCGTCGCCGTGCTTCTCACTCAGCTTGCCGAACAGCTCGGTGCCAATCACCTGCATGCACGCAACAGGGAATTGTTTAAAATGTATCGTCATGACCTCTTGTTAGTAGTTACATCACTTTGGTTGTAAAAATGCTATTGCACCTCGAAGATACTGAATTAAAAGAAGCCAGCGCATCAGTAAACACGTACTCCCTCCTTCCCAAAACAATCGCCTCTGTTTTTTTTTTTTTTTTTTGGAAATCAGTTCCAACAGTCCATGCATCGTGACATGCACTTTAGCACTTAAATTAGTATTGTAATAAAAAGCTACTAAGAAAGCTATAGCTAATAAAAGAAGACCCGGTAATCGTTAGTCGCTGGCTATAGCTAGTAAAACCTAGAGCCTGTTTGGATAATTTATGCTAACAATTAGTTCCTAAACTTTAGCCCTTGAGAATCTAAATAGGTGAATTAATGGGTGGCCTAAAGTTTAGCCAAAATCTCAATTAGTTGTTACACTAGTCCATCAAACTCAACTATCATATGCTAAAGTTCCGGTGGATCGAAAAAAAAAAGGCACCGGTACCACTCCCCCACGAGACCCTATCCGCTCGGCCGCTCGGTTCCCCTCCCTCCCGCATCCTTCCGCGCCGCCACGTGCATCTCGCCCTCGTGCTCGTGGCCAGCCTCCGCCGCGGCCGTAGCTGCTTCGCGCGCGCCCTTGACCAGCCTCCGCCACGCCAATAGACTGCCTCTGCCACCTACGCCACAGATTCCTGTTCGCTCGACGCTGAATCCTGCTTGCCCGGTGTCGATTCCTGCTCTCTCGGCACCTCCACTGCCACCCGCGCCGCTGATTCCTGTTCGCCCGGCGCCTCCACGGCCACCCGCGCCGATTCCTCCACGCCGCGCAACCACTGGTCGCCAATTCCGGCGAGCAAGCACACAAATCGTAAAAAAAAATCCGGTGAGCAAGCACACAACGGGAACTGCATGTGGCCATGCGCGGGAAGTTGACCTGCCAAAACAAACTCAAGGGTACACTGACTTTGTGTTGAAATAGTAGTACTTATTAGCCCAGAGATTCAAACACAACTGAACTAATCAGTAATCAACTAACCACTAGTCAGTTAATCACTAGTCCTAGCTAATCACTGCAAACAGGGTCATAATAGGAAGTACTATTTGGATCTTAGAGCAACTCCAAGAGACTTGTCATCCCGTTATGTATAGACCCATTTAGATAATTTGGTGTAAAACAAGCCTCCAACAGATTATCTATCTCGCTTTGTAAAAATAGCCACGAGCTATTCCTTGAGTCTCGCTCGTCATAGATAGCCAGCGTCCCTCGCTTGCCAAATGGGCAGATGGGTAGGACAGGATGCACCTCGTCATCGTCACGGAACGCCACCCCTAGGGATCCAGGCATCCAGCTTCGCACATGCCGACTTCATCTCTGTGCCGCCGGCGCCGCGCTACTGCATAGCGCGCCCGTGCGCATGTCGGGGCGGCGAATCTCTTTTCTTTGCACCCCACAATCGACTCCGTGGCCACGTCGAGCTTCGACGAGCAAGCAGTGCGTACTACATCAGCTGCCGCCAAGCAACACGGTCCCAAGGAAGTGCACATGTTCGAGTGGAGCTCTGGTGCTTCCGCAACGTTTTAGCTCAGGCCTCAGGCTTTGGAAGATGGTCTGTGACGAGGTGCTCGACGGCCGGCCATCTCGTCCGTAGTGGCGTAGAGAAGCTGGAGGCAGATGGCGTCGCAAACATGGAGCTCTCGCCGTCGCGAACACAAACGTCATCGATCTGCTCACGCTCGACCCGCACAAGCACACTGCAGCGGCGGCCTATTCTGGCAGTGAGGCATGACGCTTCGACGAGAAGCAAGGCATGCCATGAAGGTGTTCGACGGTGTGCTCCAAAGTGATGCCGTTGCACTTCAATGTAGGCCTGATGACTAGTGACAGGTTAGAAAACAAATAGCGAGCTGGTTTTAGAAAAGCTGCTACAGAACTTTCATACTTCGACAAGCTAAGTTGTTTTGGATAGCTGGTTTACCTATCCAAATTTACCTATGCTCTTGGAGTTGCTCTTATAACTTATAGAAAGCTATAGCTAATAAAAAGCTAGCCAGTAGGTGGTTGGCCATTGTTAGTTGTTGGCCGGTAATTATCCCTTGCTTAATGCAATACCCACCCACACACCCGCCGCATGCGCACATGAAAATTATGAAAACATGGAGTAAGTCACAGTACTACTACTTCTATCTTAAAAGGATATAGTAATTCTAAGTGTAGTTAAACTCAATATTTTTAATTTGATGACTAAGCTTATATATGAAATAGTGTGAACATATATGACCCAACAAATTAATTGCACTATAAAAGTATATTTCAGAACAAATATAATAATATTTATTTAAATGGTCAAATTTGTTAGCAATATTTTGGAATTGTATCTTTCTAGGATGGAGAGAGAGTAGTCGTCGACTAACATGTACTCCCTCCGTCCCATTAAAAATGTCGTTTTTTTTTTGACTTATAGACTCTCTTATTTTACTGTTCATCTCATTCAAAATTTATGTATAAATATTATTTATTTTTATGACTTATTTTATCATTAGAGATACTTTAATAATGATTTATTTATTTTATTATTTGCATAAAAAGTTTAAATAAGACGAACAGTCAAACCAAAAGTCTAAAAGTAAAAAATAACACTTTTAATAGAACGGAGGGAGTATATGTTTGCAGTGAAGAGCTAGATAGGGAGCTACCTAGTAGATATAATTTAATAGTAGAGCTTATTACCATACGGTGCCGGCGATGCTAATCCACACTGGTACACAATGCGGCTTTAATCCCGGTTGGGAAAGGCCTTCAGTCCTGGTTGACTTGAACCGAGACTAAAGATCCTCCGAAGCTAAAAAAAAATTAATGCATTCCACCCCCGTGTCTTATGAGATTCGAACCCAAGACCTCATGCATTGCATGATGCGTACCTTAATTTCCACCCCACCTACACAGCATGAGACCTTAGATGGGATGCTTTCTTTTTGAACTAGCCCATCGGAGAACCTTTAGTCTGGATTTGTAATACCAACCGAAATTAAATGACCCTTTAGTCTGAGTTGGTAACATCAAACGGGACTAAATGGTCTACCTTTAATCCAGATTGATATTACCAACCAGAACTAAAGGTCAAGGTTCTTTAATCCGGGTTGGTAACTAACCGGGCTAATATAGACCCTTTAATCTGAGTTGGTCTTATCAACCAGGACTAAAGGTCCTCTACAGTCTAGGAAACTTGGATCCGGGACTAATGCTTAAATTAGTCCCGGGTCCTAGGCTAGCTAAAACTAATGTGCTGAACCGAAAATTTGTTATCTACTGGTGCCAATTCCGATCCAGTGACTCAGTGTACGTGTATCAGATCACCTACTAGTTGCTCATAATTGTAACACTCCCTCCGCCCTCCGGTTAACAGGCCTGCATGCACTCTAAGGCAAGGAGACAAATGAAGTGCATGCAGAGTCAAGTGACCTCTTCCTGGGCGCGTTGCTTTGCAGATGACGCGTCCGTCCCTCGTACAAGAAGGTAGATCTTGTTGGCATCAGGCTGCACCCGGAGTATCTTCTCCACAAGAACTGCATTCATGCATGTACAAGCCACTTATATGTATGCATATGCAAATCAAAACGCAAGATAAACTCAACAACAACACAATGCAAGCTACACTTAGCTACTCCTTTAATTAATAGTTTGCAGGAGAGACGGAATATAACATACTCTTCCCAAGAAAGCCAGTTGAGCCGGTGATGAGGATGCTCTTGCCCTTGAAATACGCTATGATCCTCGCCGCGTCCATGCTGTCGTACTCGTACATCATCGATCACGTACGCTTGATTCTTTGCTTCAGGGAGCTAGAGAGAGAAGAGAGAGGATAAGCAGTGTTATGGTGCGCTGCAGGTGGTGCGTCCAATCTATCCAGCAGCAGCAGGCAGTGACACTTGGAGGCTAGGAGAGACCCAAGAAAGAGGTCACATACGCGCATCTAGTTATACACACACACAGCCACACAATCATACAGGGCAGGTAGGGGTGTAATAAGGCCCTGTTTGAATCCTATTTTTGAGAATCTGGATAGAAAAAATCTCACAATCACAATATCTGATATCTCATCCAAAACAGCCCAAATTTTTACAGGAATTTTAATTCACAATTTTTAAGAATACTAAAATCCAATAAAATTGTTGGGATTATTTTTACCCAGATTCCTAGAATCCCTTGATTCAAAGGGGCACCTAAGTGGGTCAGATTTGGTTACCCAGTCTACCCAGTAAATTCTCTTTGGGTTCTGGGAAAACCCAACAAACCACTCCAACCTTTGGTTATGCATGGTTCGTCCACCAAAGAACACCAACCATACCACTACTGGAAACTCGAATACTTCTATGGGTGATTAATTTTTCTGTGCGTTTTTCTCTATACACACAGAAAAATTCGTAATTTTTCTATGCGTTTCAAAAATCCCGACAGAAATATTCAAAAACCCACAGAAAAATTGCGTGATTTTTCTGTGCGTGTCAATACATACAGAAAAATTGACATTATTCTGTCGGTCTTTTCAAAACTCACAGAAAAACTATATACACGCATAGAAAAACTATATACAAAAAAAATGATCTGCGTCGATACACCCAGACGCGGCCACCCATCCCTATCCCAAACGCGCCGCCCGCACCCGCCCGAGAGCACGCCCGCACTCCCGTCGCTCCTAGGTCTCGCAGCGGCCACCCCCTCCTCTCTTCCACCGTCGCGGCGGCCACCCCCTCCTCCACCGGTGAGGCCACCACCCCCTCCTCCACTACAACTCCTCCCCTCCCTTCCCTCGGAAGACGACGGTGTCTGCCCGTGCAAGGCCGGATGGCGGCGCCTCCGCCCCCAGATCTGCCTCCTGCCGCACCAAGGAGCTTCGCCGCCCGTCGCCCCCAGATCTGCCTCCCCCTCCTCTCTTCCACCGTCGCGGCGGCCACCGCCGCCCCTAGATCTTGCGCGGGAGATCTTGTCGTCCTAGGGCCTAGGCTAGGATTACCGCCCCCATTTCGCGCCTCTCCTTCCTCCTCTGGTTTGGTGCGCTCTCTCCTCTTCCTCCCCATCGAGCTCGCTTGACCTATACGGTTAACCTCCACCGGCGGATTCGTGTTGGTCCTCCAGTGCTCCGACAGTATATCTCACCTGCCCCCATCTCCTGCCCCTCTCTGTTGAATCGTTTGTGGATTTTGTTTGTCGTCCACTGATATTAGGGTTCATGTTCTTAGATACTTAGATCTGGGCGACATTTTTGTTGATCTACATGTTTACATTTGCTTTCGTCTTGTTCCACCCTCAGATCTGTGTGATGTGCACCTCTTATTTGTTGTACACATGTGTTGTCGCCTAGATTTTGCACATGATGATGCCTAGTCCGATTTACAAACTGAGCAAAGTGCCTTGGTCGATGATGTTTACTTAACCCTAGGCGCTGGAGGAGCACCCTATGGTGTGGCAGCCGCTTCTTGCTTAAGGCCATAGCTCTGATTCTAGTGAGGGTTCTTTGTGCTGAAGCATCTAGAATTTATGACACTGATGTTCAATCTCTTGATATGACTGTGATGTTCAAACTCTTGATATCTATTTGGCCAATGATGCAACATGAAAAATAAACTCTGAGGTGTCTGCAATTTATTTTTTGTGCATTCTGTATGATTCTCATGACTGTCATCAAACCATGGGACATGATCTTAGTTTTCTTCTATCTGTTTTTTTTGCCTTGGCAGCCACCTATGATTGAGTATCTGGAAATTGTACCAACATATCGTTAAGCTGAGGCCTCACTTACTTTGCCAATGATGATATCATATTAAGCATGCCAAGAACTGATGACCTTGAGCTTGTGTTGAGGTATTGGAACTTTGTTTCTTACTCTGTTTGTTTCTTATGCTCCAAGCTCAAGGTCAACCGAGGAGCAACTGATATGTGAGGCCAATGTGTTGAATACTACATCATTTGATCACCATCTCGTGCTGATTATTTATTGAATGCAATGCTTAATTCAATATATTTGTAAAAGCTGGGTCCTTTAGATGGTGCTTTTGTTGTAACATAGGAATATTATGGGTTCAACTTCTCACACGGAATATTATGGGTTCAACTTCTAGAAGAATGTTCATTTCCATTTCCTACATTAGACTTGGCATTTGGTCTTCCAATTCCATCTCCAGCATTCCAAGCAAAGCCTCCCCAATCAGTGGAATTGTCCTGCACCTTAGCATGCACTTCCCATGGATTATCTTGATCTGCTGGCTTTGCAGCCGCTCCACCTCCACTACTCCAGCCTCTCCAATCAGTGGAATATTTTGTGAGTTTTCATTTCCATTTAGGTAGATATAGCAATTTAAGATATTTTGTTCTGTTTGCTGCTTCACTAGGATGAGTGAAGCTTCCTGTGGCAAACAATGGCATGGCACATATGACATGGATCTATGTGCCGTCTGAGGCTTGCTTGTGTCAATTGCAATGTCTTCACTGTTTGCTTGTATAGCATCCGCTCTGTTTGAATTGATCTATATACCATCCTCATGATTTGTATGTGAGTCATTGATGAGCCTCTATGATCAGATTGTACACTTCTACTAGTGCATACCTTACTGATTTTGAATTGGCCTGACATTGTTCCAACCTTTTCAGAGTCTGAGATTGGCAGTTGATTTGTATCATAGCTGTCTTTAGTGTTTTTCTTAGTGTATGGTAGATGTGCTGATACAAGCATTGCTGATATATGTTGCTTGCGTCTAAAAATTTAGACCATGCATTAGTAGTTACCATCTACCTTCTTTTTGCCCCTGACATTTCCCCACGTGTCCTGATCTACATTCAAACTCTGCCCATTCCAGTTGCTGGGATGCTCCCAATTGCCTTCATGGGATGATTCAGCTTGGTATCTATTTTTCTCTTTATGGTGTCCATGTTATTGCATTTCTGCTTGATATGGAAAGTTACATGACAACCTTGCAACAGGAACTCTATGAATGTATTCAAGAGCAAACCTTTTAAATATATAGCGGGATGCGGTGCTCAGATCACTCTTGTAGTGAACTACTGTAACTCTCTTTTCATTTCTTGAGAATGAAATGTACATCCTATTTAATTAGATGTGTGTCTATGGTAAGAAGAGTCCGTGTTTTCTGTGTAATATATATGCACTTGTCTGTATACTTATGAGAGTTGCTACATTGTGCCAAATGGGTTTTGAGTATAATCTTATAAGCTGGAAGCCAGGAAATATGTCAAAAAAAGTCTGCCATCTTGTAGATTACAATATTAAGGACAGCTGAACTTCCTAGATCTCCTAAACATACGAAGGTCCCCTTCAACAGAATTCACTGGGCAGCATGCATTGCTGAAAGGCCCTTCTATGAGGATAGTTTTTTTTTAAAAAAATAGTTTAGTAATGATAAGTAATCGGATCCAAAAAATTCAGTTCTAGAAATATTTTCAGAGCAACATTATTATCGGATAAGAACCTTTCTGTTGCTTTTGTATTATTCTTATGTCATTCTATTGCTTTTGTACTTTTATCAATGGGATGTCTGTGATTGCTAAATTGAGCTGTTTTTGTGCTTCCAGGGTTTGGAAAAGATTCTGGACCAACACATGGTCAAAGTCTGCAATGATCAGTACAGTTTGACTGACAAATATACTGATGGCTGGCTGTCTTTAGGTGTGGGGGTATTAACCCCTATACCCTTATGGCTAAGCTTGGGCCGGCCCGGATCAATGGGTTCGGTCCACCAAAAGACGACGTGCGGCCCGGTTAACCTGATCGGAGTCCCGCGCAAGGAGGTAAGGCGGATCTGGCGATCAATCAAGATCCTGGTCGGTTAGAATAGGAATCCTTATCTGGCCACATATGGCAATTGTAATTGGCTAGGATTAGTTTCCAGATCTGTAACCCTGCCCCCCGAACTATATAAGGCGGGCAGGGGACCCCTCTAAAAAACATCTCTCATTGACATACAGCAATACAAATCAGACGCAGGACGTAGGTATTACGCCTTCTTGGCGGCCGAACCTGGATAAAACCTTGTGTTTATCTTGCGTCGCCGTCTTGTTTGTGGCTTGCGTATCTGTCTGCCGACAATCTACTACCTTGGGTATACCCCTAGGTAGACTGCCGACCATATTTCATCGATAGTGGCGCGCCAGGCAGGGGGTGTGCGTACTGCTTCCCAAGCAAACAAGAAGGTCATCATCTCTGGCTCCATGGCTACGCCGAACGGCCTCACGTTCACCGTTGGCCAGATCACCTGGACCACCGGCTCCGACGACTTCATCACCATGACCCCGGAGGAGGCGTGGATTCAATCTGCATCGACCACTGCTTCACCTACATCGGCTACGGCTCCGACCACGGTACATACGGCTCCGACCACGGTGGACGCGGCTTCGACCATGGTGGATACAGCTCCAACCACAGTGGACACGGCTCTGACCACGATGGATCTGGCTCTGACCACGGTACATCTGGCTCCGACCACGCCTGCATCACCTGCAGCCACGCCGATAACTCATCATCCGCTTCCCCGCTACAAAGAGAGGCAGATCGACAACACCGACCTGCTCGACTCCATCGATCGGGTCGACACCAAGCTCGCTGAAACCTTGGCTCTGGTAAGTACGATTCAAAGTCAGCATAATGAGCAGGTAATCGCTCCCCACAACAGATCTACCCGACCAGCTCGGACCAGTCGTCCTGCATGACTTGGTACAGATCTAGTGGTCACATCTACTCCTCAAGGGCGCTCTGCTCGTCGCCGGCCAGCCTTCACGATGGGTCTCCGGCTCTTCGAGTACGAAGCCTCTACGGAGAACTACCAGGTCCAGCCCTACGGCCTGCAAAACGCTGCCTCCAGCTACGCCTACGACCTGCAACGCCGCTTGGATCTGTGTCTTATGCACCGACCTCAGCCGAAGCCGTGCGACTTCGTCAACATGATCCAGATTGAAGATTATCAAGAAGGATCCGTTCACACAGTCCAAGAGGGCGACCCCAGCTCCTCGTCTGGCACCGCATCTGATGCATCCGTCCACACCGAGCTTTAGCATCACGAAGATGAAGGCGTCAAGTATGATCTGGATATCCCAGACCACGCCCCGGGGTTCTCACAATTCCCGTCTTTCCCACCAAGATGAGGGGATCTGATCCATGTTGTCAGCAATGATGAACCGCCAGCAGTTGGCAAAACAGAACAAGAAAGGACTGCACGCGAAGCACGCAATATTGACCGGTTTAATCGCCGACAAATCGAAGCCGAAGCAGACCAGGAGGCACGACGCATAAGGGTCTAGCCACGTGACCTCAACGATGCTTTCGACAGGGTGGGGGACAAGCAGGTCTTCAGAACTCCAAGTGCCAATGTAGCCGTCGCCATGGCAACAATGCAATGGCTACCCAACACTCCGGAAACCCAAGCAGTTCGCGATGAAATACAAGCTTATCTGATGGCTGCTATGGCCCAGACCGCGGAGATTGTAAACCAAGCTTGGGCTCCATCCGTCTCGGTCGAGTCAAGCCACAGCCGCCAGCACCCAAGTCGCTCACAGCCACCCAACCAACGTGGCTCGCGCAACAATGACCCATCAGACAACCGTCAAGAAGGAAACGGTGGCCATGTTGGTGGCCAGGACGACAACCGCCGCTGGGACAACCGCGACAATCGCCGCGATAACCGCGGTCGCAGGGCTAATCCAGATGGCGATCGAGATCGCCGCGATGGCAATAACGATCTCCGCCATTACCTCAAAGGACGCGATCTGCGCGCTCGCATCAACCAGAGAGCCGACGATCGAGCGTCCCATGAAAGTTATCGCCGTATGGAATATGACACTGCCCACGGCCCGCCGGGTTTGAAGCAGTTTACTCCACACCTTCGCCAAGTCATATTGCCCAAGAATTTCAAGCTCGAGAAGCTTTAGAAGTACGACGGCAAGGAAAACCCCGAATTATGGGTTATGCTTTACGAGACTACGTGCAGATCAGCCATGGCGGATGAGCACGTCATGTCTAACTATTTCCTAGTCGCTGTCGGCCATGCGGGTCACCAATGGCTGGTCAGCTTGCCGGCAAACTATTTCGACTCTTGGCAGGAGCTCAAGCAAGCCTTCATCGACAACTTCATTGCTACTTGTGAACAACCAGGCAACAAATACGATCTGCAACGTATTTGAGATCGAAAAGATGAGCCGCTGCGTGAGTACGTCCGGCGTTTCTCAGAGATGCGCATCAAGGTCCCATCAATCTCCGACAACGAGGCAATCGAGGCTTTCGTCACTGGCCTCCGCTTCCACGATGCCCTAAGGGACAAGCTCCTCCGCAAAAGACCTGATTCGATCACAGCGCTCCTGGCCACCGCTAAGAAATACGTGGACGCCGACGACGCTAAAAAGATAATTATTGAAGAAGCAGCAAGGGTTCCGCGCTCTGACCACCCCCCACACCGCGAGGACTGCCGTGGCAACCATGGTCGGAATGACAAATTTGACCGCCGCAACCAGCGCAACGACTCCCGCAACCACCGTGACCAATGTAATCAGCGGCGTAACCGCCGTGACGATTATAGGAACAAGCGTGCTCGGGAAGACGACGGCGAGGTCAACACCGTTAAAAAGGGTGGCGGACGTCGTAACTATGAAGACGACTACACCAAGGCATTGAAGGGGCCCTGCCAGCTCCATCCTAAGTCAAACCATACCATGGAGAATTGTCGCGTCCTCAAGTCTATCTACACGCATCAACAAGCTCCGGATACGTCCGACAAGCCTAACGACGCAGGGGAACAGCGCAACGAGGATAACGACGACAACGATGCAGACCCCAGTCACAAGTACGTCAAGCCAACCGATCATGTGCACACCATCATCGGAGGCAAAGTGTCCATCGAGACCAAACGAGAACGCAAGCTGCTCACCCGCGCTTGCTTGAACGTGGCCAACACCGACAATCTCCTCATCGATCCGCGGCTCCCTCCGTGGTCTCACCGCGAAATCTCCTTCAGCAGAAAGGACCAATGGGTTGCAATACCTGAGCCAGGGCGTTTTCCCCTGGTCCTCGATCCTTGTATCAACAAAGTTTAGTTCGACAGAGTACTGATCGACGGCGGCAGCTCCATTGATATACTGTTCAAGAACAGTCTACCCGCCCTGAAGATAGCTCAGGCGGACCTCAAGCCATACGAAGCATAGTTCTGGGGTGTTCTCCCCGGACAGAGCTCTACACCTCTCGGGCAGATCACGCTACCAGTGCAGTTTGGGACCCTGGATCACTTCCGCATCGACTACGTCAACATTGTGGTCGCCGACTTCGACGGCACCTACCATGCTATTCTTGGTCGACCGTCTCTCACCAAGTTCATGGCCATACCTCAATACAGGTATCTGGTGCTCAAGATGCCTACCGAGAAAGGAGTTCTAACCCTCCGAGGCAAAGTGTACGCAGCTTATACCTGCGAAGATGATAGTTTCAAAATAGCAGAGGCTCACAACCTCTCTATTCGCATGGCCGAGACCGTGCTCAACGCCAAGAAGACCTCGATCGACCACCAAGAGATCCCGGAGCTCGAGGCTCCACGCAAGAACATCAAGTCCAAGGAGCACAAGGTGATCTAGCTGGTCGACGGTGATCCCAGCAAGACGGCCCTTATCGGGGCCAACCTGGATCCCAAATAGGAAGACGCGCTCGTCAGGTTCTTGAGGAGCAACGTGGATGTGTTCGCATGGAAACCTGCTGACATGCCCGGTGTACCTCGGAACTTGATTGAGCACTCCTTGAATGTCAACGGCAAGGCCAAACC